ACTGTCGAATTTTAAGCGATCGTAACAAATGGTTTATTCTATAGGTCGTCAATTTCTGGCAACGAATTCGAATGTTCAAATACTTTCTCTCCGTAATGCTTCGTATGCCCTTCCACTACTAAAGGATGAATTCGATGAATTTTTCGGCTAAAAATAGAGATTTTAGCTGATTTCCTGATCACCAATAAAAACGATATTTTTTCTCGAGGTACTCTTACGCGACAAGGGGAAAATTACGCAATTTCTTATAATCTCAACGCTTTAAACGCCATCCATTATAGTGCATTGAGGTAAATTCCTGTGGTGAGCGACGAAGAAATGTGTGTCAAATTAGCACAGAAAGACATTTTGTGATAATATTCTTGAAACAGATGACGTCTTAATACCTTCTATTCTCTCTGGCCAAATTATCGTGTAGGATTGCCAGTATTACAGCCATACAGATGCGAAATTTTATACCTTCGGCTACAGCCATCTGAATTGGAATACCATCTGTATTAAAAATTTTATTAAGAAACTTTCGCCTATTAGGTATGAAGGTGGAAAGTGGAAGTAGAGATATTTAAAAAATTTGCCACGAATCTGTTGCAAAAGATTTTTTACCTTTACAAGTCAGATTGAAGATTTTCTTGTGCAATGTAATATAGAAATTTTTTCTATCGAATTTAGAATCTCTAATATAAAGATTACTGTGAATATTTTGGGTCCATTATCGTTAAGTGTTTACTATATTTATATTTATTAATTATTTTTTAATATAAAGTATAATTTTATTATTGACTATTTCTTGATTGGTCATCCACGCTTTTAACGTCATCCATTCCAATATTTCATATTTCATAAGCACCGAGATAAATTTCTGTGGTGATCGATAATTAAACCAGTCCATGTGATGTTTTGTTATCTTTCCAGTATAACTATTAAAGGTAAACAAACGGACATTGAGTTTATGACGTTGGTTGCACGAGTTTATAGATATTTCTGGAACAAACTGTTTCAAGGAATGACAATTGATTAGCGGACTTGGAGAGAATCCGCGAATTGCGATTCACATTGGATAAGTTTCTATGTACGATTGTATGATTGCATTATTGCACGGTTCACTATTTTGCGCTTATTATATTTAGTCTTGGGCCCACAATTATGCCAATGTAATTTTTAGTAATATTGTATGATAATGGGACAGCATCGCACACTACACGCGTATTCCATTCTTCCGCTGATTTTTAGGAGAGATATTATTAAGCTAGGGGATAGAATGGCTCAATAAGTTATTGCTAAATTCGAAGCGGCAATGTCGACTCCCCGCAGAAGTATATCTGTGCAAAATTCCGAGTGTTGCTGACGACTCACCTATACTTCTATTGTCAAGGGACTCTCTGGCATATTTGTCCAATGCGACAAGCCAGCATTTTAAATACTAGACTTTAACCAGTGGTAGTGAGAATCAGCATTGCCGCCTGATCAGCCATTCTCTACAAATTTGGCAACCATCCTGTCACTAAGCTACGTATACACCTAAGTGAATTTACAGCTTTACAAGGCATGCTTACATTTTTTAATTATAAAATCTTTCATCCATACTTATCGATCTATATTTTTTAACCCTCGAATAATGAAAAAAATTTTAATAATATTGACCAGATTGCGAATGATTTCAAAAAATTGGATTGGTGAAAAGTCATTAGGCGAGAAATCATCGTAGAAACTTCAGATAATATTCGATATTCGATATATCTTCAATATTCAAAAAATAATTCATTCTGCGCTTCTCATATTATCAATCATTTCTTCCCTCAGACATTTTTTCCATATTCAAATTGCCATAATTAGTGTGGTTCCCAACGCTTTATCTTCAATACTCGTAATCTTTAGCAAATAAATTTCTCATAATTTTAATTGACTAAAACAATTGCTAATTTTGTTAAAACTTAATAATGGCTTTTGCTTTTTTCAAAATATTTTCATTTAGAGTATTAATGGCAAAATTTCTGTATATAAGGTTTTATTTCATTTTGTGTAAGGCTGCGCATCAATCGAAAAGACATTTCGCTGTTTTGTCGATTTCGCTATTTTGTCGGTAAACGAGAATTCATTGACAAAACCCTTTTCTCAGTCATTTTTGCCGTATTCGCATTATCATAAATAGCACAGCTTCCATCGCTTTACCTTCAGGACTCGTAGTACTTGGCAAAAAAAATTTTTTATAATTTTATGATTGTTGTCAGATAGTTAAATGATCGAGATTTAGCAAAATTTGCCTTTAAGCGGGCAAATTTCAGCCATTAATAGAACGATTAGAGCTGATTATGTATGCCGTTTCAAGCTAGCGAGTCAACATTAAATTGATATCAGCCAAATCAGATATAGCAATTGTATTGGACTTATAATTAGGAAGACTTGATTCCGATTGGTATGTGGATATACATACGATATTTGTGTAGGATGAGGCTAAGTGTCGTCTGGTTCTGAAAATCCTAACACTCCACATAACTACTGACCCATTGTATCATATAGAGTTGGTTGTCTTGATTCCAGAACTTACAAATTTATGCTGCCATTTTTAGTATAAATATTTATTTGCAATTTTTTTTCATAGAGCGCTTATTATTGCTGAATTGGTGATTCATAGCCAGAGTATCATATGGCTATAGAAGTAAAGTTGCAGGTATTAACCGAAAGAATACTTGTGCCGTATATAAAACTTTGATGACGACACTCCGAAACGAAAGCTAAACTCTTATTTCAACCCTTTTTGCTTTGGCCATTCGGCGACACTGCCGTGTGACAGATGAAGCATCGATAGATTTCGAAGTCGAGCCATTCTCGATATAACTTTGGCTACCTTTTTACTCACCGATACTTATTCCTCCCTATTACCCCTCCTTATTTTATTTGTGGAGGAGTTGGAATTTAGTAAAGTCTCTGGTTTCGACATTTTTTGAATATTTGCTGTAAGTTTCTCTAAAATTTATAAAGTGTGGTATGATTTTAAAATTTTATTAAAATAGCGTTGTTGACGATTTACTAGTGGTAAATCAAATTTTGCTATTCCCAAAATATCACGCAGCTGATGCTTAGTGTTCCTTTTTTATTTCACGAATATTCTAATATTTTTCATGATTTAATGATTGCATCTTTATTACTTTTGCAATATTTAATACTACTGTCAGGTAAAAACTTTGTGAAAATTAGCAAAATTTTGAAAAATCAGGAAAATAGAGAAATTATTATTCGATTTTTAATGATTGGTGTAAAACGTATAGAAAATCATAAATCTCCATCGTTCAGCATAATTTATTCAAAAATAATCCGAAATTATACGACAATAGAAAGTTAATCAATGATTATTCCTCAATAATTCTTGCATGATAAAAATTGATTTAAATTATTCAATTCGCTATGATATAATTCCAGAAAACAACATTATATATTGTATCGCATCTAATATAATAAAGTAACTGATTGTATTAGCTGAAAGTAGTATTAAATCTTAATAAAAAATTCATTGCAAATTGCTTTCAAGAATTCATTGCAAATTGTTTTCTAAAAGCGCTACCATCTCTGATTAGGCTCGCTATGCTGTTTATCACACCAGCAAAATTTTGGTACAAAGCTATTGCGTGGTAGAAATGTAGATGAGTTGAAATAGTTTTTTGAAAGGCAAATTTGCTCTGTGAATGGGCAGAACGGCAGAATCTTCGAAAATTATGAATTCCCTACAAGAAATAAAAAATTTAGAGATAATTTTTAAAAAGGATTTATTATTAAAATATTCTATTAAAATAGAAATCGCGATTTACAAAAATGCAACAAGTTTGACAAATGAACCAAAGTACTTTCAAAATTACTTCAAAAATAGATCATAAATTTTCAAAAATTGAAAATTGATCATCATAATTCGTCCAATTCATTGAACAAGCATTATAGCATTAAAATTGTGACACAACCATGTTTGAACTCAAATTTATCATTTCATGATGGTTTTATTAGAAAATGTGGATAAATGAATATTCCATTATGGCAACTTATAGAATATAAAGGGTCAAACGTGATTATTACAATAAAAATTTCAGAGATTTCGCAGTGGAAATATTTCATGTGGCCTCGCAATTATTTTTTCTTCAAAATTATTTAATTATTCATTCATTATTTGGAAGTACCAACCGAGCATACAATCTTATGCTTCGATTTATTTAGCAATGGGAGAGGTGGAAATAATTGATCTAATTATAAAATAAATCTCTTCCTTGATAAATTTTCCAAGGCTTATTTTATATTTTTCAAATTTATTTTTTAATGTTGCCAACTAATCAATACAATAGAAAACAGCAAAATGGTAAATCGCGAATATTTTATAAAAATAAAATAAAGATTAAAAATTCAGAATACAATGATGAAAAAAATTTGATCCATCTTTTAGTTTCCAATTCCCTCAGATTTTTTTAGAATTATTACAAATGAAATTTTAAAATTTTGTAAACTTTTAAAATTTACAAAATAAATATAAATTTAATTTTGGGTTTGTGTGAAAATTAAGGTTGCATTATTCTATGATGCAAATTTTCATTCCTAAATATTCCAATGAAAATTTTAAAAAATATACATAAAAGATTTTCTATATAATAGTGATCAAATATCTGGGTGGAATTTATTAAAATTCAGTATAAAAATGGAAGAGCACAACAGTTCTCAATTACCCTCATTTATTCCCTATGAGTATTTCCTCTGTTGCTCTGGTAAAATTTTTTTTTAAGATTCATTCTTAATAATATATAACATTATTGTAAAGAAAGAATTAGCATATTTTACCGATTTATTATTTGGTGAACGAAATACTTTTGGTTATTCAAGTTTTGTTAAAAAACAAAAAATATTTCTGTTAATTTTCTTCACCCTCAGGCCTTCTCACAATTTAACAACTTTAATTTTTGTCGCCTATTTAGGCTCTTTTATGTTGTGTTGGGCAATCATACGCGCAAATTTATGACCCATTTTGCATGAAGGCGGGTCGCAAATGTGGTAATAACATGGCCTACAAAATTGTTGACAAAGTGAAATATGCTGACGGCGTATCACTTGAACCATTATGCATTCTCGAATGCACATGTGTAAGTGAACAGTATGAAAAAAAAGATGGACAATGCATTAAAAAAAACGACATTCCGAAGCAAAAAGAAGTCTCATTTAAGTTGAATTTTATGCCAAAATATACTAAAATACAACAGAATTGCCTTAACAATTTTGAAAATTTTGATCAACAAATGCTATAAAATTATTATTATTCGGAAATATTAAAAGCTCATTCCGATAAAGCGGAGTGTATTAATTTTCGCAGTGAAAAAAAAACAAATGCTGAATGATAAGAGTGATTATTTTTTCGATCCATTTTTAGCTTCCGGTTGAAAATCAGCTTGAAAGAAATGAAACAGCGACACCAACTTTAACCCAAAGATCTGTCACTGAACAATTTTCCGCTCATCCAACTACTCAAAAGGTGAAAATTTTACAGTATTTCTCGCAAGAATAGAAATTTGAAGTTCATTGGTGCATCGTGATGAGATGAGACTATCAAAAATTTTACCGAAATTGAATTTTCATGAAGTTCATTAAACATTCTATGTAACAGCACTATATACGAATAGCCTCTTATTGAAGTAATTTTGTTTTTCTATGTTTTGTTGGAAAGTCATCCGTGCAAAAAAAACTATTCATTTTGCATGATTGCATACTGAATGATCCTTCGGTGAACATATTAGTGAAATACAAAACACCAGTTGAAAAATTTTTCGATAGGATACGCTTGATGAGAACTGTTACAAAGGCACAATTTTGGCCATAAGATTCATGAATAAAATGTACTCGAAAGCTAGGACAATTTCTCGAGAATTTTGTCGAGAGAATCGGCTCTCTGCAGGCGCAACGAGGTGTTAGCCGTATCAAAGTGGAACGCCAGAAACTTATGGACGTTGCAAGCCAAGTAATCATTGTCCACATCTCTTCTAAATATTGGGTGGATGTTACATGATTGTTGAAGATCCATTTCCTCACTTCGCGACTCGACCGATCATTAATCTTAGCTCCGAACAGAGGTACGGGGTATGCCAAATAAGATATTATAGATCACTTCATAAGATGGAAATAATTCTTTGAGGCCAAATATTACCATGATGCGCCATCTATTACCCTGGATATAACCGATAAATTTGTAGAACAATATGATTTCAGTTGCGAGTCACCAATAGAGGAAAATAATCTCTGTAATCTATAAGAATAAAATTACCAAAGAAAATGGTTTTAGGGCCGAACTTTTCATGTATTGTTCATCCTCACCTTCAACAAATGCATTCTTTGGTAAGGAAAAAAGAAATATTACCAGATGACTTCTCAAGAAAGAAAGATAGCGGGACATACACTTGTCACTTGTTACTTGTCGGCACTCAAGTGAGTCGGCATCAAATGAGTGCAGAGTATTATAAATCATGAACATTTGATGTAGTAGTCCTTTTTGCTAACAACGGTGAAGTAAAAATAATGCTGAACGTGTCAGGTGTCAGCAAATGCAGTGTCTCAGAGTCAAAGTGAATAAAACGAAAGTCTTTTCTTCTTATGCGCAAGAAACTGGTAAAATGCAAATTGCAGACTGAGAAGGTACCTGATTTTAAACACCTCGTATAAACATCCAATCGAATGGCTAGACAATGGATATTATAATCCGGCCAGGAATGCCTTCTTCTCTGCCTTAAAAGATGATAAAGCCCTCATGAAGCTATCGTGAAATCACCATAAAAACGAAAGTCCGTATACATATAGTGGCGATTCGTCCGATTCTGTTATGTGGCTGCGAGAAATGGCTAATGAGAGTGGATGATATTTAAAAGTTATCGGGCCACTTCGACCACTTTGACATCAAGGTACGCTTCGCCGATTGGATAAAATCTCATCATAATCGCATCCATCTTCTCTTAAATATTACTTGTATCATCGTCATATCATCGTCGCCTTCGCTGGTAGGACATATTCTTCGCACATCATAAGAATTGAAACATATTCCGTTATTTGCTAAACCATGGAATGGTACCATTATTGTGTCAGAAGCGAAGTGGACCAATCAAGACTTAGACTATTACGGTTAGAAAAGATTTTGAACGTATTATGGTGGGCCAGCAATATAAACGATAGGAAAAGGAATGGCTTTTATTTCTATCGATAAAAAATTATTTGCGAAACTTTGGAAGGTTCATTCAGAGAATGTTATTTCAGTTAATTTTCAGTTCCTTGCTGAAGTACCAGTATCAAAGGCTTGCAGTGGAAGAAACTGTGTCCTCGGTGAATTAATTACTGATAGTCTGTGTTCATTAACAGACCACAAGTGCGGACCAAATATGGTCTTTAAGACCTTAATTGGACCTATGCGCGTGAAAGCTGGTCTATCATCATATAAGATTTGTTTTCAACAGTGCACTTGCTACAGTAGTGAATACAAGAAAAAAGGTGGACAATGCATTAAAAAAAGTAGTGTTCCGATGCGAAACGAAACTGAGGTTCTTCTTATTACTGATTTCAGGGTTCCGATTATTTGGTACAATTAATTATTCAATAAATGTTATAAAATTATTACTGACATAATCTTCTTAATAATCATATAAGTGCATTACGATTAAACAAAATAGATCAATAGTTAAAGAATGCGAAATGTACTAAATGTACTAAACGAGCAGAAAAGAGGTTCGATTTGTCAATTTTTCAGTTTGGTGGTGAAATATTGCCTAAACACTGCGCGGGAAGAGTGTGTGCACTTGATGAAGAAATATTCAATGCTCCGTGTTCATTGACTGGTAAAATTTGCGGAACCAATATGATATTTACTAAAATAAATTTACTAAAATTGTTGTTTATTTCTCATGAGAATGCAATATTTATCTTTTATTCCATTGATATTTCTTCCTTAATTTTCTTTCTTAAAGTAAAAACCAAAAATATTGAATGAAATATTGGATGAATTTAAGTCCTTCATAAAAAAAGGTAATAATAAGGGTGAATGCCCTACCGAAAATGTTTTCTTTAAATCTTATTTTCTATATAACAAAATATTTTCGATATTTCGACAGTAATAATTTCTTAATTTCAATAGTCATTTAATAAAATATGCAATTTCAGCTTTCTGAGACTCGCGCAAATTGCGTTGGACGATCTTGCGAGCAGATTCGCAATATACTTTGCACGCTAAGAGGACGAAAGTGTGGCGATAATATGGTCTACAAAACTATTAGACGATTGGTTTACATCGATGACTCTCCTGAAATATGCATTCTGCAATGCATATGTGTCAGCAAAAAATATGTGGAAAAAGATGGACGATGTATTTTACGAGAATGATCTATGAAGAAAAATCATACGCAGGTCACACACTTTATTTCACAATAATAATGTTGAAGATTGCAAAACTTCCATGAATCATTGTTTAAAAATTCGTGAATTGGGATAGGATAGGAATTAAGCATCTCTGCTCCCTCAGGTCAAACTTTATCACATTACATTAAATACATTACCACTCATGTCTGAAGGATATCTTATATTCGTATCAAATGGATTGGATTTAGCTCATATGATTGCTTCCACTTTCGTTCAAATACCATCTACAATATCAATATTGTCATAGCTCTATTTAGCCATGTTCACCGTTGCTCATTCGAGATTTGCTGCTTTCTAAGCTCTGCGATGGCATCGTGCGAGTAGTGCTAATCGAACTCGATTAACAGAGCCAGAAGAGATTTTGACCTCTCAGATGGTCCAGCTACATGGAATTAGGCAACGGTAGAATGAATTGTGTGTAAAACATATGCTTCATCAGGGAGTGAAATTGGGGCGGTTGTATGAATCTAATCTAATTTTAAAAATCTTATTAGAATAAGAAAGATATTTTTTTTATTGTGACAAACCTAATCCATTTAATTCTGGAACCATTATAGCATTCTGTACTGAAAAAGAAATATTTTCAAAATGCAGAAATCATTATTCGGAAGCGAAATATTTCTATTTTCAGATTACTCAGTTATTTTCAGGCCAAAACGAAACAGCCATATTCGTATATGCAATATACAGAAGAAGTATTTCTCCTTAATTTATTCCTCTTTTCTATGATAACAAATTTAAAAATTGGTGAATGTATTTCTGGTGGTTATATCAAATAAAATTTGGTAATATTTGATAACGAGCGATTTAAAATTTTTTAAAAATATTTTAAAAAATTTTAAATTTCTAAGAAAATCCGTTAATATCAAATTTTTTAAGATTGTACCTAAATTTTATTTGTAAATTCAGGAATAAACTTTTTTAAAAACTATGACTGACTTTCTGCCTTCGACATTAAAAGAAAGATTTTTGTTTCCGTATGATAGAAAATAATGAAATTTATATGAAATTTTCCTTCACCTGAAGTATTGTATTAACTTATCCGTTTGATTTGATAAATGAATTAATAAATTAATATGATAAATGAATTATTTAACGTCACTGTATTCATGGAAAAAAAAATTTTTGAGTCGCCAAAATCAATTATCATGGCTTTTTCCATTGCATTTACACACTCTTAACATTGCATAAACTTCCATCAGTAATTCAGTAAAATAAAATAAAATAAAATAAAATAAGAAATATAAAAAAAACAAACGTGTTGGATATTGAAAAATTTAAAAAATATAATCAAAACTGTTGAAAATATTAGAAAAAATTAAAAAATATAATTGAAGGCATTGAAAATATTTCAAAAATTAAAAAATTAAAAATATAGCCAAAGCCGTTGAGACTTATCGATTTTTCTATTGATAAAAAAGAAAAAAGATTGCTGATATGTATATGATAATATGTAAATTTAATGATTCCTTTAATCCAAAAATTTGACTTAAGATTGGTTCTTTTATAAAAATGCCACAAATGCGAGAAGTCATTTTTATTAAAATTCCGATTTTTTTTATATAAAAAAAATATTTCGTTGTGAATTCTCATGTATTTATTTAAATTTTTATGAAATTTCAGTTCATTTGTTTTACTTATATCGTAATTAAAACGTTATCAAAATGAAGATGTCTATGGTTGATTTTGCTGTTTTCATTACCAATCACTTATTAACAACAAATAGTTTTCAGAACTTTCTAGTAATCTTTCCGAAAAATACACGACTCATTTATCATCGTGCAACTTAAACTGATAACTCTAATGAATTCGCTTTGGTAATTTATGGCATTTATATTCTTTAGATAATTGTAATTTCAACAAATCTTTATATTCGTTTAATGATTTATATTATTTTTTAAATTATTTCTCTTTTTTTGCAGATTTCTTATTAAGTCAAATAAGATATCTATATTTAATAATTAAAAAACTCTAATTTAAGAACTAAAATTTTATCAATTGCAATTAATTTATTCGGCTCCGCCTTGTAAAATAAAATTTTCTTCTTGTTTAATACTAAAATACATTTTAGATATGAACATCATTCATCAGTTGTTTTACTATTTGCTGATATTATATTATCAGAAAATTCGTTTAAACATAGAGTTATAAGTAGATCTACAGCAGCTAACCAGATCTGAAGGATTTTCTGTTGACGACAACTACAATAAACTAATAAAATTAAAGATTAAAAATTGCTACCAATTGCTAATATACATCATTTATCTTTTAAATATTATTTACTATATACTAAATTATTGGAATGTTTATTTCAATATAGAGCCACAAGTAGATCCACAGCAGCCACCCAGATTTGAAGGCTTTGCTGGTGATGAAAGCAAGAATAAAATAATAAAACTAAATATCGTTATGTCATTGTTATCACTAATTTCTTTCCTTTAACATGTTGTTATTATTTATGCAAGCATATGGCGTTTGTCGCTCTCCTTGGTTGTTTCAAATAAATAAATAATAATTAAGAAAAATAATATTATTTGCTAAGAAATAGCAACTGAATAATAATAAATTAACAATATTAATATAAATAACAACAATATTAATATAAATAATAAATGATAACAACATTATTAATAGTGATAAATCATAATAAAACATAGATAACAATATGATAATAAATGATAATAATAGCAACAGCAATAAAAAATGAAATAATGGATGATAACTCGCATTAGTAATATTTCGGATTTAGTTAATTTTATTAACAATCCAGTTACCATACGTACAATTAGAATAGCCAGCAATGCTTTATTATTTTTCTAATATACAAAATCCCTTCACTATACAAAACATACATTTCCGGTCGCTAACAAGGCATATGCTCCAATGGCACCGAAAAAATCACTAAATAATTTCCACCACTTTTTATTTCTATTTTTGTTTTATTTTATTTTTATATTTTTAAAAATAAAAATATTTTTATTTTTTTCAAGTAAAACAAAATTTATAGTGTTGAGAGATTCGTAATATTACTTAATATAAATATTTTCCGAAGCACTGCGCAGGATGGAAATGTCGCAGAATGGCGAAAGCAAAAGGGCTTATTTAAATCTTTTTCACATAAATTATTTTAAATGTTTTAACGATGCGTAAATATTATGTAAAATTTTTCAAATATTTTGGTACAAACGATATTACTGATTTACAAAAAATTATTAAATTATATAAAATTATATAAAATAGATTAAAAATATACGACTCATAAGATGTTATTTGATTAAAATAAATTAAAAATAAAATTTTTAATATTTTTGAATATAAAATATTTTGAAATATATTAAAAAAATATATTTTAAAGGAATTTTTTAAAATATAAATTAATTAAGGCTTTTTAGAAGTTTTAGAAATATCTCAGACATTTCAAACCATAAAAAAAATATTTCAGAAATGATAATCTAATTCAGCAATTTAAATAAAACGATTTATTTTATCTTTAAAATGGAAAAAAAACGACCGAAGCGCTAAATAGATGAAAAGCCAACCAACACTAAATACGATGAATTTTAAAATGATTGTTTTACAAAGTATGAAAATTTTTTTTATAAGCAACTTTATAAGTTTTAAGTATAAGAATATATTGAAATAAATTTAACAAAAAAATGATGAAAATTGGACTAAAAATTATAATGTGGAGGAAATTTAAAAATATCAAACTTCATAACATAGGTTTTCAATATATGATGAAAATTGGACTAAAAATTATAATGTGGAGGAAATTTAAAAATATCAAACTTCATAACATAGGTTTTCAATATCAAATTTTTTAAAAAATTCCTTATGGAAAACAGTTGGAAATATGAAAAAAAAGAAAAGTGTTTCATCGGGCCAAATTCACAAACTACTCGGGCCAATTAAGACCTGGATCGCAGCTAGAAAAAACGTGCCTATAAGACGAGAAGTGACTTCTAGTGATCTATAT